CTAAGTTCTGGGAGTAAAGGCATATGCTCCCATGACATTTCTGAACTTTTTTGGTGGTTACTTTTTCATCTTTGTTACTTCTGAAAATATTTTTCCAGTAATGTATTTGAGGTCTGCCTGAACTTTAACAATATCTTATTATTATTTTCCTTATTAATATTTCATCTTCTTACACTACCCCCACCCATCAGTATTTTGTCAACAGATGTCACAGCCTGAAAACTTACAGTTTGAAGTTTTCACTGAAGTGCTTCCTGGGCAGGGTGGTACACCTATAATCCCAGTACAAGGTAGATGGAGTCAGGAATGTCAAGGAGTCAAGGCAAGGCTTGGTTACCTAGGGAGTTCAAGGCCAGCCTGGGCTATATCTGAGACCCTGTGTCAAACACACACACACACACACACACACACACACACACACACACACACACACACACACACACACACACACCCTTTAATTCTAAGTGGGGAAGCACCTTTTAGTTAATATAAAAGATAACAGGCTATATAGAATCTTTAATAAAATTTTTTAATCTCTTTCTCTTCCTCTCTGCTCATGTGTATGTGTGTGTTTCATGACTTGTGCGGAAGTGGGAGAGAGAGGGGAAGGAGAGGAAAGAAGGAGAAGGGAGGACATGGGAGGAGGGGAGGGGAGGGGGTAAGAGGAACTGGACAGGATGGGAGGGGAGGGTGTCATGGCTTGTGTGTAGAAGTCAGATGATAGCCTGGGAGAGCCAGTTCTCTTCTTCCACCATGTGGGTCCTAACAATGGAAGGGACTCAGGTTGTCAGGCGGCCAGCGCCTTTATCTGGGAGCCATCTTGCTAGGTCTAGATTCTTTTTCAGACTTACCTGAGCATAGTGCTACTATTTGTAGCAAATTTCTTTTATTTGCGGATTTTTTTTTCCCTCAAGGACTACTAACACATTGAACAAATTATTTACTGTAATAAAGTGTTCTGTTGGAAATAAATTATTCTCAGCGGTCATATTTGTTTAGGGTTTTGTGACAGCATGTGAGTTTCAGGTGCTGAGGGTATTGTAGTTCTAGAAGTTTCTTGACTGCTTGCCTACAAAGCCCTGGATTTGATTCCTAGAGTTACGTAGAGTCAGATTTGGTAGTATATGTGACTATAACCCAGCACTGGGTCAGTAGAGACTGGAGGACCAGAGATTCAAGCTCACCCTTGGCTACGTAGCCAGTCCCAGTGGAGATGGGCTACACGAAACCCTCTCTCAGAAGAGAAAAAAGTCTCAGTTAAATTTTGGATGCACCACCCCCCCACCCCACCCCACCCCACCCCACCCTACCCCACCCCACCCCCCTGCTAAATTTTTAGACCCACCGTTCCCTAACTCTTCCCTTCTGGGTCTGACCTCTGGTAGTTAGTGTTTTCCTCACCTTGACAGAGTAACTGCAGAAGCAGCTTTGGTGGTGGCCTTTGTTTTGGTTCACAGTGTGAGTCCATCATGCCAGGGAGGCCTGGCAGCTGGAGCTGCTCAGTCTCTGGCGGCAGGCTCCTGTGGTGGCTGGTCATTGTGAAGTGAGGCAGGACGCAGAGCTGAGCCCATCTTCAGTCTTCAGTGACCCACTGCTGCCAACCACCCCTCTCTCACCTAGAGGCGTGACTCCCGGGACAGTGCCACCAGCTAGGGACCAAGTGCAGGGGTATGAGCTTTACTAAAAATAACAGCATATTGCTTAATTTGTAGGCATAATTCCAGTTGTACAGAAAAGTTGAATGCATAGTACAAATAATCCCTTTATATTATTTACACATATATACCAAATTCTAATGCTACGTTTTTATCTCTGTACATCCACACTCATATTTAATTTTTTCTGAACTATTTTAAAGACTTAATACATAAGATCAAAAGTGGGAAACCGAATGAATAAAGAAATGGACATATCAATATAATAGTATTTGACAGCTTTTAAAAAAAAAATGATGGCTCATACCTATTACCCCAGCACTTGGGAAGCTAAGGGTTGCTGTGAGTTTGAAGCATAGGCTATATAATGAGTTCCAAACCAACCTGAGCTACAGTGTGAGACTGTGTCTCACTCAAATGAGGCAAGGAGAAAGGGAAATATTTATATAATGACAACCTGTGTAGATCCCAAAAATGTTATGATGGACAGGGGGGAAAAAGACCAATTGAAATGTTTGTGTTATATGGTCAATTATGTGATGTTCTGGAAAGGACAAAACTTTTGAGCTAAAACAAACTAAATGGTTTTCAGTGGGGATAAGGTTGACCATAAAATTTTTGGGGATGGGGTAAAATGGTTTCACAGCTTGGCTGTGCTATAGGTACTTTCCCCCAAATCCAAAAAGAATGAATGTGAAGTGTAAAAGTTGGGAAACATTCTAGAATTTAATGTTAGCATATATAAAAGGCCTTAGGTTTTTTCCAATTTTTCAATATTGGCCTTTTATGGAGGAAAAAAACTCTCAAATCACATATTAAAATTAGTAGTCATGTCTCTTTAGTTTTCCTTTAATCAGAAACAGTTACTTCTTCATATTTTGTGGCCTTGGCCTTTTGTTGTTATTGAATTCAGAATAGTAGTCTTACAAGATATCCCTAATTTTGGGTTAGTTTGATGTTATCTTAATGAGTAGATAGGTAGGAGGAGGTGCATACATGTGCATGCATAAGTGTTATAGCACTTATGGTGGTCAGAAGACAACCTGGGATGTCTTCTTCCTTGTTTGAGATAGGTCTTGTTCACTACTGTGCCCTTAAGCTTGTCTGCTTCCTGTCTTGAAGGAGTGCTGAGATTGTAGATGTCCAAAGTGTCCAACTTTACATGAATTTGGGGGATCCAAACTCTTACCTTCATGCTTGCAGAGCAAATGTTTTTACCCATTTAGCTATCTCCCAAACCCTGAATAGATGTTTTCCTGTTTGAGGCAAGGAAACTTCAAAGGCTATTCATTCATCCAAAATGTGTTCCTTTATCTTACCTTTTTCATTTGTAGATGTGTGGGTGTTTGGCCTGTATGTATGTCTGTGCACCATGTGGGTTCCCGGTGCCTGTGGACATCAGGGAGGACATCAGTAGAGGACATCAGATCCTCTGCAGCTGAAGTTCCAGACAGTTGTGAGCTGCCACGTGGGGCTGGGAATTGAACCTTGGTCTTCTGGAAGATCTGCAAATTCATCTCTCTCTCTCTAGACCAAGAGTTGTATTATTAGAGTTATTTGCCAGATTTCTCCACTGTAGAGTTACAAGTATCTTGGGGAGATATATTTGAAATTATGTAACAATTCTACTATTTATAAAAGCTTCACCTACTAGCTTAGTAGCCCCTTGATGCATCTTCCCTGTGTCAACTAGTTACTCTTGAGTTTATTGACTGTAACTTAATTTGTTGACTAGAGCTGTTGGGTCCTTTTCTTGCTGGGATTCCTTTTCACTAAGGGTGCAGGCAGTAAGTAATTGAGCTCTTCTGGGTGTTAGTGGAGAGGTTCCTGAGGACCACCAAGGTGAACTATTAGGCTCATGTGACAGTTTCATCATTCATTGTTATTCTCATGTTGAGAGTGATAATTCATCTCTCATTCACTGGCACTGCACATTTCTCCTTCAATATTAGGCAACAACCAGTTCCTTGCCCCTGTATCCTAATCACTTAGCATTGTTACCTCTGTTTTATGTAATTGTTGTGCTGGATTTTTTCATTTTGGTTGGCTTTCTTTTAATGGATTGGTCAGAATAAGAATTTGGTTAATCTATGAAAAAAGAACTAACTCTGACCATGTTTACAGGTTTTCCTTTTTCTTATTAAGAATTCTTCTTAACAATAGCACCTAGCCCAACACTGACAGAGACAGGTATGTTCTAGGCCAGCCAAGGCTTCAGAGTGAGACCCGGCCTCAAAAACAAAAGTACCTAGTTTTCCTCATCTGTAGTGCTGTATAGTCACTAACTCAGCTACTCTTAGGACATTTTTCATTACTTTCTTTTCTCCCAAAACAATATATTATAGGTTGGTTTACAACAGGGTGGTGATTAAATAATAGTTTTATACATGCATGAAATTTTCCAGATAAATTCATATTTAGGTTCAGGAAAAATGTTCCAAATCTAAAAATAAAGCAATGCCTGTTAGAATGTGATGATTTTGTATAATGTAACAAATTAATTGAGATTTTCTGTGTTTGTTTTGTAAATGGTTAACATTTGTTGTCCTTGTTTTGTTCGTTAGAGAGGGTCTCATTAGGTAGACCAGACTGACCTCAAACTTGAAACTCAAGAGACCCTCCTGCCTGTCACCCAAGTGCTGTGATTAAAGGCATAAGCTACTATGCTCAGCTGGTTTTGAGCACCTTTGAACCTGTTTTTCATTTAATAATTCCTCCATAGTATATAAAAATCCCATTGATACTTTAGGATCTTGTAGCTCCTGTTTGAAGTGATAGTGACCCCCCCCAAAAAAAAAAAAAAAAAAAAAAAAAAAAAAAAAAAAAACCTAATCTTAAATCCTAGATCAATGTTACTTGTGTTAATAGGAATTGTGCTGCTTTTGTGTAAAAAGAAAATGTGAGATGAGAACAAGAGATTGATCCTTCTAAGAGTCCAGACTGAGAGATCAGTATGAAACAGACGTTCACAGTAGTTGAAGACTGATTACTTAAAGAGGAAGTAATAATCACAGTTGAAATTGTCATCAGCCAAATGTGACCTAGGATTTTCTTATCAGCCCAGTGTCAAAGCATGATAAACTACACGTCATGTCAATGTGATCCTCCAGGGTAGCTGTTCAGACAGACAGAGTTCCTTCCATCCAGATCCCAACATGAATTCATTTATATACACGGGCATATGGTTTCCTTTACATGTGTGTATGTCTGTATGTATATAAATCTTCAAATGCATAAATATACATGTTGTTCTAGCTTACAGAATTAGAAATGTAATTCAGTTTACTCCCACAGAATAAGATTGAAGATAATGAGAACTGAATTAAAGCTTACTTTCTTTCACAGAATTCCTCAGAGAGAGAAGACTGTAATAATGGCGAACCCCCTAGGAAGATAATACCAGAGAAGAATTCACTTAGACAGGTATGAAATTCAGTCTTACTTAAAATAAAAAGCTTCCAACAACAAAGCAAAAGACAGGAAGCCTCTTTGACTGTCATTCTTTAAATACTGGAGTTTAAATCAAGAGCCTGTATTCTGGAGTTAGTCTGGCCATAACCATTAATTTCAGTCAGGTAGCATTATTTCTCAATCATTTAAAAATATCCTGGGTGCAAAAGTACAAGATAGTGTGTATATATAGTAAATATTTAAAGTAAAAAGGTCTTGTCTAGGCAAGATGACCGTAAGTGCTTTGTAGAATGTACATGGAATAGTTAACACTAATTTATATTTCCCAGTAAAGAGTATTTATACATTTTAATTTTAAATAGACTAGGCTAGAAGGCTTGATATAATAGGCCTCCTGCCTCAGCATCCTGATTATAACCCTGTACTTCATGCCTGGCCAAGGTTCACCGTACATTTCAACAATAATAATAATAACAATAATAACAGATCTGTAACAAAGATGGTTTCTTTTAGTTTGAATTTATTTAATTTATTTAGTTTTTCTAAGAGTGAAGACCACTATCGATGATTACTTTTAAACCCTATTTGTGGGACTGTGCTTAAAGTGCTTGCCGTGGGAGCAAAAGGGCCAGAGTTCAGAAACCCAGAGCCCACGAGTGTGGCAGGCCACCTGTAATCCGGCACTGTGAAGGCAGAGACAAGGTATCCCAGGAGAGGTTCTCAGTGACTGAGGATCTCTGCCTACATACACACATTTGAATAGTACACACAGGGAAGAGAGAGAAAACTATAACCCCCTTCCTTCCTCGGGTCTCTGTGTGCTGCTTCCTAGAGATAATGTCTTTTACTTGTGAAAGTTCAGTCTTACGATTTTTTTTTTAATTAAAATACCCAAAATAGTGACAAAAAAAAATATGCCCTCACTACTGTAACTGTCTATTTACTAGAAATAGACAAGTAATTAAATTGTTTATTTATTAAATTATTATAGCTAGAAAGTAAATGCCACAATCATTTTTAGTATAATATTATATAGAATGAGTGCCAGCAGCAATACAAATACTTTTAATTTGTTGTGTTTATGGCCTTGTTCTAGCACATAGGAGAGCAGTGATGTAGCTTTTGATGGATGCCCACCACGAACATATTTATTTCATTTAATCCTGTGTTAACCCTGCTGAGTTGGTAGATATGTGATTTCCAGTTTCCTGATGGAGCTGATGGAGGCTTGAAGGGCTTAGATTTGACCAGAGCTGCTCATTGATTTGGAACTCAGACCTTACTGTTTCCAAAAAAGTTTCCACTTCTGCCTCCAGAGTCCAGTTTTCTTAGCTTTAACATAAAGGGAAAGTACTTGAAAACATTTCACAAACACTGTTCATTTATTATATGTTAATTTTTTGGGATAGGTGTTCTTCCAATTATTTTTTATAAAAATAATTGTTTTAAATAGAATTGAGTCAATATAGGAAGCTTTCAAAACCAACAAGCAAATTGATGTTGAAACAGTTAGTTATTTGGAGACCCACACCAGATCTGTATGCTAAATGAATATAACAATGTTGAATAAGGTAAACTTGGAGATGGAGACTCTGTCCACTATACAGAAGCAACTGTCAAAAAACAGTGATGCTACAAAAAGTTTTGGCAACTTTATTTAAGCTAACAAACGAATTTTCACTCTGCAAAGTTATAAATTAATTTTAATAGGCTGATCCAGATGGTCCATTTGGAAAATGGATAGGCTGATCTGTTGAAAATTAAACTAAATTTATCTCTCTCATACTTCAAACTGAAGCAAGAGCGAAAATCGTGCCTATTAAGTCCAGCACATACAGATGGACCAGCAGGTCACACATGGGACTAATCTGATTCATTTTAAAAATAAATGCATACATTATTGAATCATTTTCTTCTTGCAAGATCTGTTGTGTGCAGTATTTGAAAGAGATTTAATGTTTTTTTCTTATTGTTGTTTTAGCAGGTTCTCCTCACCCATTCCACTTTAATCTCCCTCCCCATTTCTTCAGAATGATTTTTCTAATATCTGTCATTCAGGGTTGAGATCCAAGCTCTGGAGATTAATTAGGTCATGAGGCTTTCCCCCTCCCTTCTTTGTAAAGGGTTTTATCTCCATTCTCTTTGTGAAGAGCATGAACTCCGTGTTGTTGGAAAGAGAAATGGCCTTTAGAATTAGGGAAGTAGGGGATCCTCCTGGGGCCCTCTGAGCCTTTTAGCTGCTGGGTGTTTTAACAGCCCTATGAATGCAGATTTGTAAATTTATTGCAGTGCCATCTGGTTTTTTGCTCGAACCAGATTACTGTTGGCTTGTGTCTGTCTATTGTGGTGGTCACTCCCTAGGAGCTTGCCCTCTCAATCTTGGGAAAGAGTGATGAATAGCAGGGGTCAATAGAAGCGGGTCACAGGGCAGCTGTCCAGGACTGCCCTGAACTTGATTACCCCACTGCTGGTTTTTTTTTTTTTTTTTTTTTTTTTTTTTTTTTTTTTTTAAGCTAGTACATAATACACAAGCTGTTTAAACTCCTCTTTTTGTCTGTTGCATTTGACAATAAGGAAATGCCATTTGTTACTTTGTCTATTGACATGATCTATAGATAAAAAGATGTCAAGGGCAGCCTAAAGTGAGTGTTGCTTCATGGGGCCAGTCTCTTAAGTTGAAATTCATTTGCACATATGTCTAATAAAATTTCAAGAGTGTATTACACTTAAATATAAAAAATTCACTTGTACTTTAACAACCTAATGTTGTTATAGCTAAGCCTTATAGTTTATGTAGATTATTCTCAGGCAAAGGCTTACCATTGTTGATGGGACATGGCTACTAATATTAATTTAGAAAGCTGTTTTAATGTTGAAGAAGCCAAAAGAAGGGTTATCACCATAAATCTTAGAGACGTTAAAAGAATAATAGAATATTATAAATAACAATGCCAAAAAATGACTAGATTAAATGGGAAGATTCTTTGAAAATACAACTTACAAAATTAACACAAGGTAAAAGAAAGTTCTGTCTATTAAATATAATATTTTAGCTATCAAAATAAAATTTTAGCTATCATATCATTTCATTGGTGAATTTTTTAAAAACTTAAAACAGAAGTAATAGCAGTCTTGCACTACAGGCGCTCTCTTAAAACAAAAAAAGAGACTACTTTTTGGCTTGTAAGACTACCATAATAAATAGCACTTCTAAAACTTGACAGAGAAATTACCAGAAATAGTGAAGGAGAAAGTTGAGATATCCAATTCCTTTTGTTATCATTTAGCATTAAGTATGAACTTTTAAAAAGTATGGTATAGATACAATTGTCTTTCTGTTTTTACTTCTAAACTGTGAAGCTGTGGAAACCATAGCCACTATTTTATAGTTTTTATCCCATGTGTGATTTGGGGTTGGGGGAATTGGGAGAAGATGTGAAAGTGCTCTTTACTTTTTGACAATGTAGCATTACAACATGCAACTCTTCTCTGCTCACATTGGGGCTAATAGGATCTGTCAGCTCTCCCTTTCTCTGTAATTGAGTAAATTGTGGCTGCTGCCTAATTCTTCTCCGGTCCTCCACCCCTTTTGTGTGTGTATCCACTTACCATCCTGAGAAGGTGGGCAGGTGATAAATAAAGCATTGAGTGGAGCTCTCTCAACTCTTTGAAAGCAGCATGATGCCGGCCCTCTAGTTATATTTCTTTAAGTGTTTACATTTTCCTGTATTCTTTCTCTTGTGTAGCTGGAACCCTGGGGATGCAAAGCCATGAGAGAGGCCAAGAAACTAACAAAGTAGCTGTCTCCCTTGTTAGCTTGTTCCTTTATTCTTTAAAAACAAGATAAAAACCATCTGGCTCAGGGCATTACATTTTCCTCCCCTGTGCACCTCTATAGATGGAGGCTTCACCTGCAGTGAGGGTTTACATTGATTAGGGAGGGAGCAGTAATTCAAGCTTCCATCCTCTTCAAGGATACTTTGCAGTCTTTAAAGGTGCTGACCCACTGAGTTAAACTGTCAAGGGAGGATAAAAAAGTATCCTCATCCTAGGAGGTAACAGCTGCCAGGTTTGCAACACCTTGCACACTGCTAGGGAAAAAAAAAAAAGAAAGAAAAGAAAAATGAATCTGTTGTCATCTTCTGTTAGTGACTGGGCCTTAAAAAAAGGAACTGCACAAGTCTTTTGGAAGGAAAAAGTAACTGTTTCCCTTGCCTGAGATTTTCTTCTCCCTTGGTAAAAATTCCTGCATTGTTCTAAACGTCATGTCAGTAATGGAAGCGTGGATGGGCACGTACAGTTGGGAAAGTAGGAAGAAGATGCACATCAGACATAGAAAATGACATCGGGGTGTGTATTAAAAAAAAAAAAAAAAACAGCCACAACAAGTCATTCATGAACCAATAAGCTGAGAGAAGACATATGCTGTTCTGTTCTTTGGAGGGCAGTTTGTTTTCAGGCTGCATCCACATGAGGAAATGCAGTGACTTTGCTTTTTTAAGAGTCACTTCTCCCTAAAAGAAAGAAATGAAACCTCCCAGAATTAACTTCCTTTACCAGATCCAGTGTTCGAGTATGATGGCATTGTCTTCTTTCTGATTTGATTAATGGGGGAAAAGGTTTAATGAAGTCCCTGCTATCAGGCAGGCAGTTTTTTCTTCTATTTGTTTTAGGTTAGTCATTTTAATTGTATTGAGTAATTAGAAGGTACACACAGCCAAGGGAGCTTTGTTCTGATAATTGCTCAAGAAAACCCATTCCCTATCCGCTGTTGCTTTGTGTTAAGACACTTCTCCCTCTAGTGGCAATAGTAAGCACTTTGGCTTGGCAGTAGGCAAGGTGTAATTGCAACATGATAAACTGTGCTTAAGGGACTATTTTGTAAATACTTTAGGCTTCAGCATTATTTTATTATATGTATGTTTTACCCTTTGGAACTTCCTACCTCCTCTTCTTGAAGTGCTTTGGGCTTTAAAAAAAAAAAAAAAAAAAAAAAAAACCTGCCTGAGACG